CGAGGTTCCCCATAAGCCTTATTCTGCGATTTTTTCTTTACTCGGAATGATTTCAAATCGGTATTTGCTTTATATAGAATGGATGTGTGTCGTCAGAAAACAACGCGGCGTCGTGCGCAGGGTCAAGCGAGGCGTCGAGGAAAGTTTTGAAATACGATCCCCCCTCCCCCAGAGGCCGAATTCCATGAAACGACCGCTTCACAAGCCAAACTATAAAAAGAAACTGCTGATAAAAAAAAGCCGTGGTATCCCACACTCCACCAAACCGTCGTTCAAGAAGTACAAAAGTGAAAAAGTCAAAGAATGATCATTATTGATGAGTCCTACCAAACAAGCGGAGCGAAAACGACAAACTAGTCACTAAAAATGGCATACTATGACAACATCTCTTCTTTATTTATTTCCTTTGGAAGACTTACCAAATTCCAGTACTACACAAAGTATCTTTGCACATACGCATCCACTTTCGCTTCAAATGATTATACCTTTCTTCGAATATGACGAATTTTCAAGCTGAAAGCAGATTTGGAAGTTTCGTGAAGATGCCTTTTGAATAGTTTTAAAATTACGAAAATTTTAGAGAAGTAACAAATTTAGATAGATTAACGAGGAAAATTGAAAATGAAGAAAGTTCTCGTTCCAATTTTCGTCAAATCTGAAATGTCAATAAGGCATACAAAACTAGAAGATTTTCTCTATCAAATGGTTACTAAAGCAGCTTTATACGTCCAGTATTCAAAAAATGGCCACGTTGAGGATTTTTGCAAAATTAACGAGGAAAATTCGTGATGAGTGCGAGTTTTTACGCTTTCCAAAGCCATAACTCCGTTCATGCTCGTCCAATTTGAAAAGTTCGGCACTACTGCACTATTACAACCCCAGGAGGAGATGGGTCAAAAATAATTTTCGCTGAAACTTCGGCTATGGGGGTTATCGAGGGTCCTGATCACGAATATGATATTCATTTTTGGCGCTGGCGCCAATTTGGCGCCATTTGGCGCCAGGTGGCGCCACGACTGATTCCCACTAAATTCGCTGTAAACTTCTGTATAGGGGTTATTTGGGGTCCTGATTACGAATATGACATTCGTTTTTGTTGTTAGCGCTATTCGGCGCCTATTTCCTGCTCGTCTGCGCCCTCGCACTAATTAGATCGCAATCAGGACTAAGCCTTTGAATAGTGGAGGGCTCCAAAGTGAGTAGGCCACTCCCCTGTGGTCTGACACACTCCAACTTTTGCCACACGGTGCGTGGTTTACCCACTCCGGAGTTTCACTCCCCTCCCCTAAGCTTAGTCTTAGGCGCTGTAGGTGTGAGAAAGCTTAGAAAGCAGAGAAGTGCACACGAATGTTAAAGAGCGCGTGTCATATTCGTGATCAGGCGCCCCAATAACCCTTACGAAGTTACAGCGATTCTGGTGATAAATAAGTTTGGCGGAGCTGGCGCCAAGAGCGCCAATTTGGCACCAGAACCAAAAATGGATGTCATATTCGTGATCAGGACCCACGACAGCCCCCACAACAGAAGTTTCAGCGAAAATATTTTTTGACCTATCTCGCCCCCACTGGGGTTGTAATAGCGCAATAGTGCCGAAAAGTTAATACGTCCTCATGAACTAGAACGTAATAACTTCGTATAGCATACATTATACGCCTGCTGCAATACGTCCTAGTTTAAATTACGATTGAGTATTTTATCACGGTACCGCGAATGGACTTTTCTCTGCCATGCGCTAATGTCAACGACTGCATATTTGCTTCCAGGGGCGATCTTGTACAATAGGAGCACACTCAGACTCAGAGCTTTTCTCTCTCCAACAAGTGTAAAATTGTTTAGCGAATCTCAACTTTAAGGTTACATGTTCATGAATTTGACGCTGAAGGCTGCGTTTCTTGTTGAATAGTGTACTCCTCCCTGTAATTTCACATGAACCCTTTCAGAATCCTCTTGATTTTTCCTGAATTGAGATTCTTTCTCCAGAGAGCCGTAGTTGAAGCGCGCGCAACCAACTGGGCCCACTCTGGGATGCGCCGTGTGCTTCACATCCCTTCAGATTCGAGGACTCACTTGAAAGATAAAATATCCTTGGAAAACGTTTTTTCGGACTTCAACTTGTGTGTGACAAAACACTGACCGGACACCTCTGAATCACGAAGATTTTGTGTGGGCGGAATCACATTGTTATTGGAAATCCTCTGGCCTGGCATCGACTCGATCCTTGATGTTTGTCCTCCGACGGTGATGATCCTACTGCATCAATCCGGCCCGATCTCTTCCTCCCAGCGGGCCAATACGACCCCCCCCCCCGTGAACGTCGAGGATTCCTCAACGCACGCTTGACCCTGGTCGTGCGTATTTGCGAGATAGCCATTACCGAGTCCCGCGAACAGCGCTAAAAATTTGCAAGACATTGCACCGGGCCATTTTCCCTCCCCCAACAATTCACTGGCCATAAACATCTCCACAACTTCAAAATCGTCTCCTATTCGCTCATCGTCCGTTTGCTCTTTCCTTTTTAGTTCATTGCGATTTCCCAATTTTTCGAGAATCCAATTTATCCCCTTGATGGTTCATAGCCAAGCGATACGCAAAAACAGTGGACAGTTGCAGCAGTGGGAGACATGAATGAGACTCGGCGGCAAACGCACTTTCGCACGGTGTGCATGGACTGCACTGGTCGCAGTTGCCGCTCGCGCCAAGTGCAAGTCAGATACCCAATATTGAAGAGTATGAGGCTGGCGTAACCGCCTCTTCTTGATGGGCCAACTTCCCCTCCTCCCATTATTATAGTCCATGTTGCGTTGCGGCGCGACGACACGGCCAATGCAATGAGTGCGGTCCAAGCACACCTTATGTCTGTTGCGAAGTCTGTCGTCTGCCTAACAGAGCGCGAACAACAACATATCTGCTGCAACAATCCATTTTGAAGAGATATTCTCGCTTACAATGTCGTCTATTATCAGTGTGTCGATCAATAAAAAACAGCCAGCGATGGTGCCTTTCGACCTTGACTATCAACAAACTCTTGGATCACCGTTCGTCTCTTTTATCGATCTGTCAATGATCAATGAGCTTTATGGATGCAAAAGTGAGCAGATTAAGCGAGCAGTTATTTTCAGCAATTTCTCATAAAATGGCACTGACAAGTGCAAGTAACTTGTCTGATGCTGAAAGTAGAACGCATCTGTGGCAAAGTTAGCGTTACACTATAAAGACAGCGAAAACTGAAATCGTGCGACAAGTCAGAAGACCTGAATTGAGTTCTCACAGCGCTGCCGCAAGTTAATGTGCATATGGCGGTGAGATGAGAGATTTTTGCTTACAAATGTTGTGCGCTAGGCTCCAACCAGGTTCCTGACCTTTCATAATCATTAGAATATTCAGTATTATGCGTTCTAATCGGTGATTGTGAAATGGCGGTTCAATCCGCGCAACTGCGCAAAGTGGCTTCTGTGGTTATGTGGGAGATCGATGTAAGAAAGGTGAGAGTGAGTAGACTGTTGAAAACAGGATTATGATTCATTCGCAAAGCGACTGGCGCACATAGACATCGTCGCCGAATGGACACTTCACAGATGTTAGGGAGTTTTGGTATCTCAGCACCTAGAAGACTTCACCGCGGGTGAACAATGGATCACTGTGTACTAATAGTTATGCATCTTATATAAGTGTGTAATACTTATAGACATTGTGTTCTCGTAATTGATCCAAGACTGCGGGTTTCACGCGCTGCACAAGTTTATTGTGTCGAGATATTAAGAAATATCCTACTTACTATGATGCGCTTCGTCTGTCGTCTGTCGTTCTGTATGTCTGTTACGAAATTCCCTAGCTCCTCGGGATCTACCTGGATGGACCGGGCCAAGTGTGGATTGGGTGGGCAAGGTCTCACGAAATAAAAACAATTCAGTAAGCAGAAAGCACGCTCCGGAGTGCGTGGCGTGCGTCGGATAGACCTGTCCGAGGACCAAATTTCGATTTGCAGCGACGAATCAATCTCAACTAAAGCCAAAATGTGGTTAAGTTAAGGGAGTAATCGAATTAGGGGACAATCTAATGGACGTGGGGCGAGCCCGCCCAGAATGGGCGGGGCGCGCTCTGAAGTGTACAGCATTTTCTACAAGCCCTCATAATTCGGGTCGGGGAAGTCTTAAAGAGCCGGAAAAAGGTGGATAGAGGTGTATGGAGGAGTGGAGGCCAGCTGTCAATGGTGGGCGGGGCTTGACCAAAGTGGGCGGAGTTTGCGACGAAATTCAAACTCGGCTCCAGAAACGAAAGTCCAGAGCCGGAGAAGTTGTGGCTTAGGTGAGGTGGAGGAGTGAGGAGCCGCTGTCAAGGTGGCGTGCTGATAAGGTGCAGATGTTCTTAGCGCCAATTTCAACTCGTCTTCCAAGAAGGACCGACCGGTGAAAAAAGGGTAGAGGTCGGCGAAAGGAAGGGGCCAAATGCTATTGGTGGGCGGGGCACGCACCGAAGTAGGCGGAGTTTGCCACGAGATTTATTGTCCGGAAGCAGTCCGGAGACCGAGAAAAAGAGGATAATGGTTGACGAAGAAAAAGCCGTCGATGATGGAGCGGATAGAATTTAGCTGAGAATTCAGATATTCGTGGTGTATCAAGCCAAATTTGAAAATTTTCGTCGCACCATCAAAATTCGCCGCAGATCTGTGTTGCGCGCGCAATGCGTGCGGCGCCAACTGGTTGCTTATAATCCACTTGGTCATGCTAGGTCATGACAACGCGTTAGCCATGTTTGCAGTGTGCTAAGCACAATAGGGTTCTTTTACACCCCTTAGGTTTTTCCAAAATTCAAAAAATGCATGCCTTCTCACACTTTTTCTCTATTCCTCCCATTCGTCATGCAGGAGCAAAGTTTCAGACCAGCTGAACAATTTCTTGTAGCGCGGCGAACGACGAATACGAGCTTCGTTATAACTAACGTCACTCATCTAGTGGATTCAGCAGCTAATGAATATGCTGAGATCAGTTGCAAAGCTACGACTTCACTCTTTTTTCAGTCTCCTAACGAAACAGAAATCGAAATTATCCTTCTGAGCTTTAGTAACAGTTTTGATAATAATGGATGTGTGTACGATGGTGTAGAAATCAAGACAAATCAGGACCAACGGCTCTCTGGCTATAGGTGCTGCTTTTTTCGAACGAGAATAGCACTTGTCAATTATCCTGAAATGTTTGCTTAGGTTCTGCTCTAGTAGCGCAGCCGGGACTCATCTTCGTTCTTACACCAATCGGGTTCCCATAATCACATGGAACAGACTCTACAAATCGGAAATGAAATTGCTGTACCGCCACGGTAAGTCAACCTCAGCACTCTCTTTATTTGGAGGAGTTCCACAAAATTTAGTTCCGGCTAGCGATCCTCGTCTACCTGCTCGAACAATTCGACCACCTACGAACTCCGACAGAATCACTACCGAACTACCTCTTCCTGCTGATTTCTGGATCTCTGGTGGAGTAGCGCCTCTTCCGGCCGAGTTCTGGACTTCTGGTGAAGCAGCGCGCATATGTGTGGACCATCCAGAGTAATCAAAAAATTTTGAAAGTCTTAAACGCGTACTGAACATGTTTTGTTTCCTTAGGTGTTCTCTTCATCTTGCTGCCGTAAACTTCTGCAATAATGACCACTTCACCATTGCGCAGAAGAGGAGCTATTGTCCTAGATCATGTAATCTGTGCACTACTCCACAGTCTATCAACTCCGCCGCTTGAGGTCGCCTTTTTCACATATTTCTCACACCACTATAGCTTTGGCTAGTACAGTCATAAATAACTTGTACAATTTCTAATAAATAAGAAATAAAGTAATTAAGCGATAAAAAGATTACCCAAGCTGTCATGCTGAAAAGAATGATCCACGTAGATGAAACATACACAACGTTTCTGCAGTTACAT